TCTTATACATTTATTCGATGTTCAAATAAACACAATAAATAAATAAAATAAATAAATATATATATAGCTCATAGTGTGAAAAAAAAGTATTTATTTGACTATTTCACAAAAAATAGTAAAATGAACTGAACTTTGAACTAGTTCAGAATTAAAAATGTGAACTTTGAACGTGAACTGTTCACTTTGAGCATGTATGAACTGAACTTGAACTAGTTCAGAAAAGCTGTGAACTGGCACAACACTGATCAGGACTAACAACGGATCGATTCGCCTTTACAAGTCAAAGAAATAAAGTTACAGCTGAGCTTAGAAAGGCCAAAGCCAGTTTTTTCATTGAAATCATCAGAAATGCAAAAGGTAATAGTAGAATGATATGGAAAACTATTGATAAATTGATTGGAAAAGAAAAGTCAAAGTGTGAGAATATCCATCTCAAAATAAATGGAAAAATGATCGATGACTCTTTTGCAATAGCAACAAATTTTAATGAATATTTTTTAAACATTGTCCAAAAACTGGCTCAGAATTTTCAAATTGTTTATCCCCTTCTCATAATCAGTGACAAATCAGAGTTTAATCTTAGTCCAATAACTAAAACCAAAGTTGAAAAAATAAACAGCAGCAAAGCAAAAGATATTTATGGACTTGATACTTTTCTTAAACAATATAGGGACATCTTCTCTGATCCGTTGACAACAATGATCAATCAATCAATTAGACGGGATTTTTCCAGCAGCCCTAAAACCTGCGATTGTCACCCCTATATTTAAGTCTGGTGACAAACAAGAAATTAACAATTATCGTCCAATAAGCATCCTTCCAGCAGCGTCAAAAGTGCTCGAGAAGACAGTGGCGGATCAACTTACCGCCCACTTTGACTCACAAGCGCTCTTAAACCCAATGCAGTTTGGTTTCAGACGGAAGTATTCAACAGACTCTGCCTGTTGCTACTTCCTGGAAACTGTCAGGGCATATGTGGATCAGGGAAGGGTGGTGGGAGCAGTCTTCCTTGATCTGCGTAAAGCTTTTGACACCGTCAACCATCAGATACTCTACAGTAAATTAAATCAATATAGTCTCTCTGAGCACACCCAAAACTGGATAAGATCTTATTTGAGCGACCGACATCAGTGTGTACAAGTAAATATCATCCAATCTGCGTTTAGAGCCACCTCAATGGGAGTGCCGCAAGGGTCTATGTTGGGACCCTTGCTTTTTAGCATCTATATAAATGACCTCCCTACAGTGTGCTCTGACAGTGACTTGATCATGTACGCTGATGATACGGTTATCTTCACTTTTGGGAAAAACGAGCTGGAGGTTGCTGACAAATTATCAAAAGAGATGAAAAAAGTTGCAGAATGGTTGCAGACGTCCTGCCTGACCTTAAATGTTGATAAAACGGTTTCAATGTTTTTTTTTTTCGAATAAACGTAAATTACAACAAACTCAAGAAATTCAAGTAAATGGACAAAAAATTAAAAATGTAAACAAAACAAAATATTTAGGTCTAATACTTGATTCAAATCTTGGTTTTAAAAGTCACATAAAAAGACTTGGTAACACACTGAAATTTAACTTGATGAACTTTAAACATATTAGAAACTCATTAACTACAGAGGCCTCAAATACTTACCTCAACACTATGATTGTTCCACATTTTCTGTATTGCATGTCTAGTTGGTCTCAGGCGTGTAAAACATCGTTAAAATCACTTGAATCATTATATAAAAGGGCCATAAAAATTCATGATAAAAAGCCTCGTAAGTATCATCACTGTAAAGTACAAAGTAAATATAACTTTCTGAGTTTCGAAAACCTTATTAAATATAATCAAATTTCTGCTCTGTTTAAAATAATCCATAACATCACTGCTCCCCCTCTGAGAAAAAATGTTACACTCAATTCGGAGAGAATCTCTAGAACCACACGGTCAACAGTCAGAGGAGAGTGCAGCGTTCCAAGACACAAAACTGCATATGGTCAACAATCATTCTCTTATAAAGCAGCGAGCCTTTGGAACACTCTTCCAAATGAAATTATTTCATGCACAAATTATAGCACATTTACACGCCTAACCAAACAGTGGTTATTATCAAAGCAAACCTGTACGCACTGAATGACTGTGAACGCTGTAAACTGTGAGCGAGTGTGAATGATAGAAAGTGCTTTTATGATGTAAGCGTTTATGTATTATTCTGTATATATTTTATGAATTCTTTTAAGTATAACATCAACCTGTCCAGGGACTGCGGGTGGAAATTAGCTTTTTTGCTAAAACCTGGCACATGACATCTCTTCTTTTTTAGACTAATGTTGTTTGTGCATTGTCCCTGATCAAATAAATAAAAGTAAAAAAAAAAAAGTAAAAAAATGAATTACAAATTTTAGGAAATGTGTTAAATTGACCTCCTGGCCTTAAATGTTGATATAAAATAAGTCATTTTATGAACTCTATTATTACGGGCAAGTCCCGCCTTCCCTTCTCTTAGCTATAGTTCAGAATCCACGATGCTGTCCACGTTAACCAATCGAGTCATGCCAAGGGCTGTCAATCATCGGCGCTGATGCTCGTAGCTGCTCATGCTCAGTTGTTTGTTTTCGCGGAGCCTCAGAATCAAGCTCTATTAGGCTCTGGAACTACATGAAAACTGAACAAAGAATTCTGAACATCCGCGCTGAGGTACTTATGTATATACTGAACCTATATCCATAATCATTTATATACTGAACCTATATCCATAATCATTTATATACTGAACCTATATCCATAATCATTTATATATGAACCTATATCCATAGTCATTTATATACTGAACCTATATCCATAATCATTTATATACTGAACCTATATCCATAATCATTTATATATGAACCTATATCCATAGTCATTTATATACTGAACCTATATCCATAATCATTTATATACTGAACCTATATCCATAATCATTTATATACTGAACCTATATCCATAATCATTTATATATGAACCTATATCTATAATCATTTATATATGAACCTATATCCATAATCATTTATATATGAACCTATATCCATAATCATTTATATACTGAACCTATATCCATAATCATTTATATACTGAACCTATATCCATAATCATTTATATATGAACCTATATCCATAATCATTTATATATGAACCTATATCCATAATCATTTATATACTGAACCTATATCCATAATCATTTATATACTGAACCTATATCCATAATCATTTATATATGAACCTATATCTATAATCATTTATATATGAACCTATATCCATAATCATTTATATATGAACCTATATCCATAATCATTTATATACTGAACCTATATCCATAATCATTTATATACTGAACCTATATCCATAATCATTTATATATGAACCTATATCCATAATCATTTATATATGAACCTATATCCATAATCATTTATATATGAACCTATATCCATAATCATTTATATACTGAACCTATATCCATAATCATTTATATATGAACCTATATCCATAATCATTTATATACTGAACCTATATCCATAATCATTTATATATGAACCTATATCCATAATCATTTATATATGAACCTATATCCATAATCATTTATATATGAACCTATATCCATAATCATTTATATATGAACCTATATCCATAATCATTTATATATGAACCTATATCCATAATCATTTATATATGAACCTATATCCATAATCATTTATATATGAACCTATATCCATAATCATTTATATATGAACCTACAGTGCCTTGCGAAAGTATTCGGCCCCCTTGAACCTTTCAACATTTCGCCACATTTCAGGCTTCAAACATAAAGATATAAAATTTTAATTTTTTTTCATGAATCAACAACAAGTGGGACACAATTTTGAAGTGGAATGAAATTTATTGGATAATTTAAACTTTTTTAACAAATAAAAAACTGAAAAGTGGGGCGTGCAATATTATTGGGCCCCTTTACTTTCAGTGCAGCAAACTCACTCCAGAAGTTCAGTGAGGATCTTTGAATGATCCAATGTTGTCCTAAATGACTGATGATGATAAATAGAATGTACCTGTGTGTAATCAAGTCTCTGTATAAATGCACCTGCTCTTTGATAGTCTCAGGGTTCTGTTTAAAGCACAGAGAGAACCATGAAGACAAAGGAACACACCAGGCAGGTCCGAGATACTGTTGTGGAGAAGTTTAAAGCTGGATTTGGATACAAAAAGATTTCCCAAGCTTTAAACATCTCAAGGAGCACTGTGCAAGCAATTATATTGAAATGGAAGGAGTATCAGACCACTGCAAATCTACCAAGACCCGGCCGTCCCTCCAAACTTTCATCTCAAACAAGGAGAAGACTGATCAGAGATCTCCTCTCTCTCTCCTCTCTCTACCCTCTCTCCCCTCTCTCTCTCCTCTCTCCCCTCTCTCTCTCCTCTCTCCTCTCTCTCTCCTCTCTCTCCTCTCCTCTCCTCTCTCTCTCCTCTCTCTCCTCTCTCTCTCTCCTCTCTCCCCTCTCTCTCCTCTCTCTCCTCTCTCTCTCCTCTCTCCCCTCTCTCCTCTCTCCCCTCTCTCTAACCTCTCTACCCTCTCTACCCTCTCTCTCCTCTCTCTCCTCTCTCTCCCCTCTCTCTACCCTCTCTCTCCTCTCTCTCCTCTCTCCCCTCTAACCTCTCTACCCTCTCTCCCCTCTCTCTCCTCTCTCTCCTCTCTCCCCTCTCTCTCCTCTCTCCCCTCTCTCCCCTCTCTCTCCTCTCTCTACCCTCTCTCCCCTCTCTCTCCTCTCTCTCCCCTCTCTCTACCCTCTCTCCCCTCTCTCTCCTCTCTCTACACTCTCTCCTCTCTCTCCTCTCTCTCCTCTCTCTCCTCTCTCTCCTCTCTCTCCTCTCTCTCCTCTCTCTCTACCCTCTCTACCCTCTCTACCCTCTCTCCCCTCTCTCTCCCCTCTCCCCCCCCTCTCTCTCCCCTCTCTCCCCCCCCTCTCTCCTGCCCTCTTCAGGTCGGAGGTTTAGCATGTCGTGTAGCGCCTCAGTCTTGTCCGCAGGCTTCCAGATCGACACGCCGGACACGCTGGGCAGGACGTGTCTGCACGCTGCTGCAGCCGGAGGGTGAGCGTCCAAAGAACAATCTTCATGAATGTTCTAAGACACAATATTCTTTTGATTCTGATTTCTCTGCAGGAATGTGGAGTGTGTGAAGCTGCTTCTGAGCAGTGGTGGGGAGCACAACAGGAGGGATAATTGTGGAAGGTAATGCCTTTGTTATTTTTAGCTGCAAATAAGTTTACTATACTATCTATAAATCATTATAACCACACATACTGACTAGATCTAACCCTGAACCCTAACCCTTACAGAGCCCTGATACAATACTCAACACACATGGCATGTGCCATACATAATGATAACCCTTGACAGAGATATGGGATCTTTCTATCATGCAAGAGTGGATTTACTTATTGAATGAGTGACTCCCTCACTTTTCAGTGAGTTGGTGAAATAAGTTGTTGGTGAAATTTCACAGCACTGAATTTTGAAATTTACTCAAGCTTGTTTGGGAAAAAAACTTTAGTCTTTTCGTACTAAATGAAAGTGTATTTAAGTCGAGAAGGATGAACGATACTTCTTGCTGTATTTCATTGTTGTTGTGTCTCGTTGTCAGGACCCCGCTCCATTATGCAGCTGCCAGTCGGCATTACCAGTGCCTGGAGACGCTGGTGGCCTGTGGCACGGCCATCAACGCCACGGACCAGTGGGGCCGCTCTGCTCTGCACTACGCCGCCGCCTCCGATCTCGACCGGAGGTAAAGGTTCAATTTCCTCTGAACAGGCTTTCTCGCCTCACAGTTCATAGGCCTCTGTGAACTGTGTAAACTGTGTTTTTCTGTGTTTTGTTTGTAATCTGACTTGTATGTGTATTTTATGTGGTTTAATGTGTGAAGCGCTTTGTGATCCTGTTCTGTGAAAGGCGCTATACAAATAAACTTTACTTACTTGTAGACTTTAAAACCATTGTCCTCACCTTTTGGTGCTTTTCTGATGCCAAGCCCGTGTTTATGATTTTAACAATTCTCAACATTCCAAACCCTATTCCTTACATACACCATCATTATTCCCATTTACATTTCCTGTTTCTCAGACGATAAAACATGCACAAAAACCATTTAGCTGAATGCTGGATTCAATCACTTTTTTCCTAAAATAATTACCAAATGTGTCTATGTAAAATGTAAAAATGTAGGTTCAGGGGCAGTCGTATTTGTCCTCGATCTAAGTGAGAAAAAACGTTTAAAAAGAAGACAATTGTGCACATATAATCCCGCCTGTTCATCCATCGTCTGCCCCTAAATCCATTTCTACAGGAGTGAGACCATAACCTTGATCTTTCAGTGGGGGCTTCAGGCTAAGTGGGGTTAAGTGTCTTGCCCAAGGACACAATGACAGCAGACAACAGTGGAAGTCGATGGAGAAAGTCTCATGGTGGGATTGAACCCACGACCTGAGGCTCAAAGGCCAATGCTCTACAACTGAGCCTCTGTCTACAGTAATAAAGTATGAATATAGTAAATATATGATCCTCACTGTTTCTATGGTAACTGGGGCTATATACTGTTCATGTGGTTCCCTGACTCGCTGGCAGCAGGATGTTTTAGTTCTGTGCGTCTTGTCTTGGCAGGCGTCGAGTGGCTCTGGAGCCCGAGAGTGAAGGAGTCCAGGCAGAGAAGGAGAAGGAAGCAGCTCTGTGAGTGGGTGTACATGTAGGAGATCAGGGGTTCTCAAAAGGAGGTCCTGCAGAGGTGTAGTCGTTTCCTTTTGTGTGATGACAAAGTTTTTTCACTCATCATTAGCAATAATGTGAAGCCATTTTTTGTGAGAAAAAAACCATTTCTATTTTCAAATAACATCAAAGATTACAGTGCCTTGCGAAAGTATTCGGCCCCCTTGAACCTTTCAACATTTCGCCACATTTCAGGCTTCAAACATAAAGATATAACATTTTAATTTTTTGTCATGAATCAACAACAAGTGGGACACAATCGTGAAGTGGAACGAAATGTATTGGATAATTTAAACTTTTTTAACAAATAAAAAACTGAAAAGTGGGGCGTGCAATATTATTCGGCCCTTTACTTTCAGTGCAGCAAACTCAGTCCAGAAGTTCAGTGAGGATCTTTGAATGATCCAATGTTGTCCTAAATGACTGATGATGATAAATAGAATGTACCTGTGTGTAATCAAGTCTCCGTATAAATGCACCTGCTCTTTGATAGATAACTTTCGCAAGACACTGTATGCAAGGTGGCCCAGGAAGTTACAGGGACTGGATGCTTTTTCAAAGAAGAACATATAGCTTTACCCTCAGAGGGGATAAGAACCTCTTCCACAAAAACCACAACAGACTCTGGACTGTTTTAGACGCTGAGAACTGGGAGATTGAAAATTCTAATCGTGATCGTTATAGTTTGAAAATTGAAAATGTTTTGTTTGACAATAAATGGCGTCACACAAACACTAACAGTGATTGTGTTCATAGTTTATATGATAAAGTTCTGATGAGGATCTAGAACGGTCCAGTTTGCAGCCTTCATGATTTTTTGTGGTTGCAGATGTTTGGAGTTCCTGCTGCAGAGCGGAGCCGCAGCGTCTCTCAAAGACAAACACGGCTACAGTCCAGTGCACTACGCTGCGGCGTACGGACACCGCCACTGCCTCAAACTGGTCAGTCCAAACCACACGGTCTCAAGCTGGTCAGTCCAAACCACACGGTCTCAAACTGGTCAGTCCAAACCACACGGTCTCAAGCTGGTCAGTCCAAACCACACGGTCTCAAACTGGTCAGTCCTAACCACACGGTCTCAAACTGGTCAGTCCAAACCACACGGTCTCAAACTGGTCAGTCCAAACCACACGGTCTCAAGCTGGTCAGTCCAAACCACACGGTCTCAAGCTGGTCAGTCCTAACCACACGGTCTCAAACTGGTCAGTCCTAACCACACGGTCTCAAACTGGTCAGTCCTAACCACACGGTCTCAAACTGGTCAGTCCTAACCACACGGTCTCAAACTGGTCAGTCCTAACCACACGGTCTCAAACTGGTCAGTCCAAACCACACGGTCTCAAACTGGTCAGTCCTAACCACACGGTCTCAAACTGGTCAGTCCAAACCACACGGTCTCAAACTGGTCAGTCCTAACCACACGGTCTCAAACTGGTCAGTCCTAACCACACGGTCTCAAACTAGTCAGTCCTAACCACACGGTCTCAAACTAGTCAGTCCTAACCACACGGTCTCAAACTGGTCAGTCCAAACCACACGGTCTCAAACTGGTCAGTCCTAACCACACGGTCTCAAACTGGTCAGTCCTAACCACACGGTCTCAAACTGGTCAGTCCTAACCACACGGTCTCAAACTGGTCAGTCCTAACCACACGGTCTCAAACTGGTCAGTCCAAACCACACGGTCTCAAACTGGTCAGTCCAAACCACACGGTCTCAAACTGGTCAGTCCAAACCACACGGTCTCAAACTGGTCAGTCCTAACCACACGGTCTCAAACTAGTCAGTCCTAACCACACGGTCTCAAACTAGTCAGTCCTAACCACACGGTCTCAAACTGGTCAGTCCTAACCACACGGTCTCAAACTGGTCAGTCCTAACCACACGGTCTCAAACTGGTCAGTCTGAACGTTTTCATCGTCAGCCTCATGAGTAATAATGATGGCGCTCCAGATAATTGTCCTTACACCTCTTCAGTCTAAAGGCTCCTCCAGCAAACACTAGAACATCACGGGCAGAGCCTTATGGTGCATTCAGACCGCAAACGCTGAAGCCTCGCTCACCAGACGCGCATTCTCTAGTTATCAGACGCAGGGGTCTTCAGACCGAGATGTCCTGACCAGCGCCGGAAGTGGCGGAAGTAGCCGGCAGGCTATGATGCTAACAGAGCTATGCTAGCGGCTTCTTGTGTACAGATCTTCTCCAATATGCAGCTTTGCAGCGTGTCTTTGTTCAGAGACCTTCCACAGACTTTATATAACAGCAGTATGTGTTCACGGAGGTGACTTTATATAACAGCAGTATGTGTTCACGGAGGTGACTTTATATAACAGCAGTATGTGTTCACGGAGGTGACTTTATATAACAGCAGTATGTGTTCACGGAGGTGACTTTATATAACAGCAGTGTGTGTTCACGGAGGTGACTTTATATAACAGCAGTATGTGTTCACGGAGGTGACTTTATATAACAGCAGTATGTGTTCACGGAGGTAACTATATAACAGTAGTATGTGTTCACGGAGGTGACTTTATATAACAGCAGTATGTGTTCACGGAGGTGACTTTATATAACAGCAGTATGTGTTCACGGAGGTGACTTTATATAACAGCAGTATGTGTTCACGGAGGTGACTTTATATAACAGCAGTATGTGTTCACGGAGGTGACTTTATATAACAGCAGTATGTGTTCACGGAGGTGACTTTATATAACAGCAGTGTGTGTTCACGGAGGTGACTTTATATAACAGCAGTATGTGTTCACGGAGGTGACTTTATATAACAGCAGTATGTGTTCACGGAGGTAACTATATAACAGTAGTATGTGTTCACGGAGGTGACTTTATATAACAGCAGTATGTGTTCACGGAGGTGACTTTATATAACAGCAGTATGTGTTCACGGAGGTGACTTTATATAACAGCAGTATGTGTTCACGGAGGTGACTTTATATAACAGCAGTATGTGTTCACGGAGGTGACTTTATATAACAGCAGTATGTGTTCACGGAGGTGACTTTATATAACAGCAGTATGTGTTCACGGAGGTGACTTTATATAACAGCAGTATGTGTTCACGGAGGTGACTTTATATAACAGCAGTATGTGTTCACGGAGGTGACTTTATATAACAGCAGTATGTGTTCACGGAGGTGACTTTATATAACAGCAGTATGTGTTCACGGAGGTGACTTTATATAACAGCAGTATGTTTTATTTATTTATTTATTTATTCTTAAGGATAACCCCTTGAGATGAACCATCTCTTTTTCAAGGGGGTCCTGTGACAACATGAAAAACAAACATTTTATGATTTACAAAAAAAAAACATATAAAGAAAAATAAGGGAACAGAATTCCAAACAAATAACATTCACATTCATTCAGCACCGCACTTCCAGAGCCCCTCCATCACCCATCACCCCCCACAGCTGACACTATCCAAGGGTTTCAGAGTCATATTAACTTGATTATGAATTGTTGTAGACTGAGAGCCCCAACCGTTGAATATAATCTTAGTTGTTTTCAACACAGTAAAAGAACACATTGCATATAATATGTTAAAAACAGGCACACGATACGTTTAATCTTGTAAATACAGCTGCTTTAAATTGTGGCAGGGAGGATAGTGATCGGAGTTCCATGGGCAGATTATTCCAGTCATGAGCCGCTTTAAATCGAAATGCCCTCTTTCCCACCTCTCTACGTACAATGGGGATTCTGAAATACGGAGAATTCAAATTTCTTAAAGAGTGTGAGGTTCTAAATGGAACCATATGTTGTTTTAGGTAATCAGGTACATCAAGGTAAATACATTTATACAAGAAGATAAACCAATGAAACTGTCTTCTTGCTTTGGGTTGTAACCAACTCAATGAAGAATATAGTGAGCAATGATGAGTGAAATAAGTGCATCGGAGTATGAATCTGCAGAGTGAGTTTGTAAGAGTGGTCAAGGGCTTAAGAACAGCATCAGTAGTATGTTGATAGACTATGTCACCGTAGTCAATTATTGGCAGCACAAGTTGCTGGACTATTCTTTTTCTGATGTCGAGTGTGAAACAACTACTTGACCTGTGAAGTTGGGCAAGAAGAGCATAAGTTTTATTTAGTATATGGTCTATGTGTGGTTTGAAAGAGAGTTCTGGGTCAAGCCATAGCCCGAGATATTTGAAGGCTTCAGTGTTTTGCAGTAGAGTTTTATCCAAATATTGTATTGAGAGATTTTGTACGTTTGTGCTCAATGGTTTCCTGAACAACATACTGTATGACTTTTTACTGTTTATAATAAGATTGTTTTGAATAAGCCAATTTTGTATATGGTCAAAGTCATTTTGAAGGGATTCCTGTATGTGATGTAGGTTGTAATGGGAGCAGTAGATAACCGTATCGTCAGCATACAGGTGGACTTTACATTTATTTATAATTTTTGGTAGATCATTTATGTATATGGAGAATAGAAGTGGACCAAGTGAGGACCCTTGAGGAACTCCTTTTGCTACTGTGGTGGTAGAGGATGATTCACCTCGAACTGTTGTATAATGTTTTCTTGAATGTAAGTAGGAGTTAAACCACAGCAAGGCACTTTTGGATAGACCAATTGAATAAAGCTTGTCCAGTAAGAGGTAGTGGTCAACAGTATCGAAAGCCTTGGTGAAGTCAATGAAGATAGTTCCTGTGATGTTTTGGTTGTCGAGTGCAGTATATATATCGTTTGAGAGATTCATAAGGGCTGTAGTTGTGGAATGATTAGGTCTAAATCCAGATTGGAGTGGTGATAAAATATTATGTTCATTAATATAAGATGATAGTTGATTAAATATATGTGTTGAGTAAATATATGTGTTCACGGAGGTGACTTTATATAACAGCAGTATGTGTTCACGGAGGTGACTTTATATAACAGCAGTATGTGTTCACGGAGGTGACTTTATATAACAGCAGTATGTGTTCACGGAGGTGACTTTATATAACAGCAGTATGTGTTCACGGAGGTGACTTTATATAACAGTAGTATGTGTTCACGGAGGTGACTTTATATAACAGCAGTATGTGTTCACGGAGGAGACTTTATATAACAGCAGTATGTGTTCACGGAGGTGACTTTATATAACAGCAGTATGTGTTCACGGAGGTGACTTTATATAACAGCAGTATGTGTTCAGGGAGGTGACTTTATATAACAGCAGTATGTGTTCAGGGAGGTGACTTTATATAACAGCAGTATGTGTTCACGGAGGAGACTTTATATAACAGCAGTATGTGTTCACGGAGGTGACTTTATATAACAGCAGTATGTGTTCAGGGAGGTGACTTTATATAACAGCAGTATGTGTTCACGGAGGTGACTTTATATAACAGCAGTATGTGTTCACGGAGGTGCGCCATACGTTTATTTTATTATTAAACGGTGCTTCCGCATCCTGCTCCTCCCCTTTGACTTTCCCGCCAACTCCGTGCGTCTCTACTGAGAGGTCCGTGTGTTCTAACCAGTGTGGGAGGGTCCCAGCTCAAAAGTGTCCAAAATGACGTGCGCTGACATGCTGCAGTAGTAAGTAGTAGTAGTAAGTAAGCTTTATTTATATACCGCCTTTCACAGACCAGAGTCACAAAGCGGTTTACAATAGTTATTTTTTTTTTTTTTTTTTTGGGCACTTGTCCTCTCACTCCACACAGAGATGGGAGCGGGGTCGCCGAACAGGAGGCGCATGCCAGACCTATTGTACATATTTTTAGTGGTAGGGGAAACCGGAGTACCCGGAGGAAACCTACGCAGACACGGGGAGAACATGCAAACTCCACTCAGAAAGGCCCTGGTCCGGCCGGGATTCGAACCCAGGACCTTCTTGCTGAGAGGCGAGAGTGCTATCCACTCAGCCACCGTGCCGCCCCAGTACCACCCCGGGCCTGTGGGGGTGGACCCAGAAGAAGAATTAGCCAATGCTAACATATAGCGTTAGCAGACCTCTCAAAAACGTCTTTACAGGATGGACCAAAAGTTATCTCTTGGCACTGTGAATTTTTGAAGTCTCTCGTTCAAATGAATGGAGCTGCGCCGGCTGACGCATGCGCAGATGCGTTTTTTCACAATTTTGTGGGCGGGACCACTCGCAGCCATTTTGAATAGCTCCAGTGGAGCACATTTTTTGGCCCATTAGTTAGAACGGCGGAGATACTGACTCTGTCCGTTAATATATACAGTCTATGGTTTTGACGCTGCATCGCGCCTCCCCATTGACTTTGCATTGAAAGCAGACACAGCGCATGATCCGGTCTGAACGTGGCATTACTCTCCCTTTTTATAATAATTTCTCCAGTAAAATTACACCTTCTTCATTTTATTTTATTTTAAAGTGGAATTTCATGGTTTAGAACTTAAAATCTGCAGACCAAAGGTTTGAACGCTTGGGATAAGGTCCTTTTGTAGAAAATGGGCAGATTAGAATGAATGTTAAACCAGAGTTGTGTTGTCTCTGTTAGATTGTTGTCGGGATGTTGTGAGAACCTTTGTTTTCCTGCGACTGACTCTGTATCGCTGCTTCATGGAGGATTTATTAAACACTCATGTTTTTTCTGTCAGTTGCTGGATAGAGACGACAGTCTACAAGATCCTGAATCTCCAAATGCTAGGAGTCCTTTGCATTTGGCTGTAAGTTTTTCCCTCTGATCATTGTACACTATTAGGATCAATTCAGAAACTTAAATGATTTTTGGTACGAATATTTCACAATCCGTAGGCGTACCACGGCCATGCCCAAGCGCTGGATGTGCTGTTGCAGGGGGAGAGGGAGGTTGACCAGAAGGACGAGGAGGGCAGGACCCCTCTGGCTCTGGCTTCTCTCAGGGGCCACACAGAGTGTGTTCACACCCTCCTCCACAAGGGGGCATCGTCACGCACAACAGACAGCCAGTATGGACGCACCCCGGTCCACCTGGCAGGTGGGAGGCAGGACATGATCACATGATAATAACATGATAATATCATGTGATCATGTTATTATCATGTTAATAAGTTATAATGATAGTTAAAATGACATTCATAAGCTGCTATATCTTATATCTGCTTATACATCTTTCTATATCCATGTTTGTTCTAATGTTTGTGGTAATGATACATTTATCAACATACGATTGTCAAGTGTGTGTGTGTTTGAAGTTGGCATTACATAAATAATGAAATAACAGAACATTATAAGCTATAAATTAAAACCTTGAAGTGTGTTTGATAGATTTTAATGGATGTTTTAGTGTCGTGTGGCAAGAGTTAGAATTAGAAATTGGAGAAAACTAAGATCTCTCAATTCTAAGTGAATTAGTGTCATGTGTTCATAAACATCTGTGGCCTCAGTGATGAATGGCCATACGAACTGTGTGCGCCTCCTGCTGGAGGAGTGTGACAGCGCAGATCTCGTGGACGCTCCTGACAATCAAGGACAGTAAGTTAATGAGTTTTCATGTTCTCTCTCTTTCCACTTGTTGCATGTTCTTCTAACCGTCTGAACTCCCACAGGACTCCGCTCATGTTGGCCGTAGCAGGAGGTCACGTTGATGCTGTTTCTTTGCTGTTGGAGCGAGATGCAAAGTTGAACTTGGCAGATAACCACGGCCTTACAGCTCTTCATTTAGGGGTACACCCTCCATAACATTTGAAAAGACTAAATATGGTGTCATGTTTTAGTGAGACATTACTACTTCAGCTCATCCCACTGACGGTGTAATGAGCATGGACAAAATAAACGCTTTCATAAATGCCCATAGCTTACGTTAATTTTTGCTAAATCCTATATATATATATATAATATGTGTATGTGTATGTGTGTGTGTGTGTGTATATATATATGTGTGTGTGTATGTATGTATGTGTATATATATATAGTGTGTATATATGTATATATATGTGTATATATATGTGTATATATATATATGTGTATATATATATCTTTGAAACCAAAACACTGAAGAGGTTTTGTAATTATCCACAGGACCCAGAGAATTAGAGTTGGCCAGGATCAGAACATGCGTGTTTCTCCGTCAAAAGATAAACTTGATCTCTGATGGAGAAATGCACATGTCACATTAACACCGACAGAATCACTCAGTGTGAAACATGTCGAAGGTTAAAAGGTCTAACAGTGACTGTTCTTCCTTTCCCTGGTCCCTGGTCTCTCTCAGCTGCTGTGTGGTCAGGAGGAGTGTGCCCAGTGCCTGCTGGAGCAGGAGGTCTCTGTCCTCGTGGGGGACTCCAAAGGACGCACAGCCATCCACCTGGCTGCTGCCCGGGGCCACGCCTCTTGGCTCAGTGAGCTGCTGTGTATGGCCTGTTCTGAGCCCTCCTCTCTGCCCCCTCTCAGAGACCACCACGGGTACACGCCCCTGCACTGGGCCTGCTACTACGGTGAGCGCTCTTTTATAAAACACAGAATTATTATAGTTAAGGAGTATTCACTTAACTTAGGAGTCCATCATGTTAAAAAGTCTGTCAATCACTCCACTAGAATATAACATGTCCATTTATTCTTCTTTATTGTGCTTAAGTCACAGATTTTGTACTTCATTCTTGCCAAATTGGAAGAAAACCTCACCTTTTGTATAGTACACAATTAAATGCGTAAACATGCGACTGTTTGAGTTTAGAGCTTCCATTATTTTTTGATCTCTTGGTCAAAAAGATGAATGCTTTTTATTCTTCTTTGTGTCAGGACATGAAGGATGTGTGGAGGTGCTTTTGGAGCAGAAAGGATGTCGTTGCATCGATGGGAATCCGTTTACACCTTTGCACTGCGCTGTGTAAGTCTCATTTAAACATAAACATTTGACCCTCTCCACTGAAAGTTGCTGTTGTGGATTTTGGTCTGTTTTAACTCAAGCCTTTCTTCTTCAACACAGAGCCAATGACCATGAGTCTTGTGCGTCGCTGTTGCTTGAAGCCCTGGGGTCGGACATAGCGAGCTGTAGGGATGCTAAAGACAGGTGACTTTTTTACCCAATATTATTATTATTATTATACCCAGCTCATTATGAACGAAGCCATTTTAATCTTCTGTCTCCAGGACCCCTCTTCACGCTGCAGCCTTCTCCGGTCACACAGACTGCGTTCAGCTTCTGCTTTCTAAAGACGCACCCACGGATGCGGTGGATCAGTCCGGGCGCACGGCGGTGATGATGGCGGCCGAGAAGGGCAAAGTCCAGGCTCTGAGTGCGTTGGATTTATACGTTTAGTTTGAGTAGAAATACTGTTTGTTCATAAATAAGTCTTTGTCCCGACAAACAAATCTTGTATAAGTAAAAGTGATAGTGATAGAGTGATAGAACCAAAGTGTTTCAGAGCCAGGAACTCTTTTGAGGGATTAGATTACATATTTAAATTTACTGTTTATTTAAAGTTAGGTACTCCAGCTTTAATAGTTTGTCTCCTTATTTTACAGAAGTGTTGTTGACCAGCGCAGATCTCACGCTCTCAGACACAGATGGAAACACTGCTCTGCATCTGGCCTGTAGTAGTGTAAGTGATCCAAGTTATATTTATGTGTATTATTTTGTGTATTCATCTAAATGTGACCGTTTCAGGGGAAGGAAGATTGTGTTATGTCGATATTAGAAAAACTCTCTGATTCTGCACTTATCAATGCAACAAACGCTGCGCTGCAAACGTGAGTCTCACCATTTCTGAGAACATAAACTTTGATGTTTGCTCTGAATCTTTTTTATTGACTTTTCCCCCACATCCTGTCGCCCAGTCCTCTGCACCTGGCCGCTCGGAGTGGCCTGAAGCGGGCGGTTCAGGAGCTGCTGTCCAGAGGGGCTAATGTACAGACCGTGGATGAGAACGGTAAGAACTACAACAGTATTTAGAATCAATGGGATTGGATTTGTTTTGCAGCATGACTTCAATGCGCCGCTGATGCATTATAAGAAAAGACATTTGGATCAGGGTTCCCACTGAAAGTCACCCCAAATTCAGACGGATTGGAAGATTGGTTGGATATGACACCCCTCTAAAGGCTGCGTTCATGTGACATCACAACAATCCAAAGAGCTTTAAAACTGTGGTGGAGGGCAGCTGGGAAATGTGAATGAATGATTCCTGGGTCCATCCAAATGAAACTCTCAACTTTCCAAATATTCTTTGTCATTACACATCAGCTTTGGTCTCGTTATTGTCTCATTAATGTCTAGAAATGGTGACAGTATTAAAAGATGCATGATGTTGGCCATGTTGTTGAGAAAATAGTTTGTGAATCCTATCTGGAAAAACATGGACATTTTAAACATTTAAAAACATAATGAATAGTTGGCACATTAGCAACCGCACTCCAACTGAAATAAAATGGTGAACATGAACGCAACTCTGAGGAGTTCCACAGTGGAAATCTTGAACTGTGAAGCGTGTTTGTTGCTTGCTTCCTGTTTTAATTCTGAATGCTCATGTTTAGGCCTGAGCCGCGGTCGCTCTGTGCAGTGTGTCCCTATGTGAGTATTTTTGTTGCAGAAATGCTGAAACTAATTGAATGCTGCTCCGTCCCTCCTCTGTCTGTTTTTGCTTTTCCCGCCTGTGTCTGCTCCTGCCTCCTCCCACCTCCTCCCGCTCTCCCTGTTTCTTCTGTCTCTGCCACAGGGTTGACTCCTGCTCTGGCTTGTGCTCCGAGCAGAGAGGTGGCTGATTGTCTGGCTCTCATTCTGGCTACCATGATGCCTTTCTGCTCCCCTTGCAGCTCCGGGGCCCCCTCCCCAGGTGCCCTCCTGAGACAGGCCCATCCCGGAGCTAAAGTGCCCTGCTCCGCCCCTGCTGCTGCTGGTCCCAGAGGCCAGCGCAGCCCCAGGAACCCTTCAGGGCCGTCTAGCGAAGGAACCACTGAGAACGACTCGGAGGATTCAGAAACCTTTTGACCTTCCCCTCTACCTCAGCACACACTTTTAGACCTGTTCCAACGATGAGCAACAGTGTTTTGGAGGCAGTAGCTTCTGCTCCAGTGAAACTTTGATCCCTGCTGTTTTCTACCTGCACTGCTGCGATCCCACTCCTGCAGCCCCCACCATTAGACAGAATAAAACCATAGAACTAGTTGTGCTGCAGGTCAGACCCAGACTCACACTTCACTGATTTGGCCACGTTTTGGAGACATAGTATTTATAACATCTTTCTTTGAGCCAATCATTGGAGAGGCTGTTTCAAAGCTGCCCATTCCTCCTGTCAGAGGATAAACTACCACAATCACTCAGATGTTAAAGAGGAAATGCACGCTCTTGAGAACTGGGGGGTGGGTCGTCATTATAAGTTTTTGTGTTTTCATTCATAATCTTCAAAATACTGGCCAAAACAAAGTAGAATTTGTGCCTGGGCGTGTAAATGTTGAAGCTCATCTATGTCTTCGATCCAAAGCGACCTCGGTACTTGTCTCTGGACTCTCTGTTTGTATTAATATGAAGAATAACGTGAAACTGCAGTGTAAAGCTACTCTTTTTAATTATTAATATGTCATACCAAATATTTAAGTACCAACCACCAATAAAATGCCTGGAATGATGTCACACCACTGTAAGAAAACAGAAGTACTGCCCACCAAAATCCCTCTGGCTTTTATTACACATTTCTAAACAGTTTGAATTCCCTTTGTTCCCTTTTATGCTGTACCTTTGTTCATAGTTTTACCAGGGTTGTTCTCACGCTCACCAGAGGAGGTACTAATGAGGTTAAGTAAAACATATTTGTGCAAAAAAAGATGCAACGTGACTTTAGCGTACAGCGGAAGCCAGGGTTTTTTCTTTTGAGCATCTCCAAATGTCCGTACGCAAAGCCGTAAGCTGCCGTGTATCAATTTAAGTATTTATTCTTCAACTCTTGATGGTACTGCACTTACATGTACAGGAACATACATGTACAGGAACATACATGTACAGTAACATACATGTACAGGAACACGGGCCTAGCATGTGCCATTATCTCAATCATTTCCAGTGCCTTGTTGTCAAATTGTTATTCTTAAGACTATTGGATATAATGAAACAGGCTTTTCACCCTTTACAAATGTGTTTATCTGAGGATTTGGGTCATATTTCTACGGCGTATTCATTTAGCATGACCCAACTCCTTGTGCCATTCACTTTTACACATTTTAGGAACTAATTCTAATGAAGCGACGTTCCGCCTCAGTTTGAAAACCAAAAGGAAACCAAAAAAATGTTAATTTTGTGAATTGCCTCTTGTAAGTCAATATCTTGCATGAGGCAGTCGCGATGGCTGAGTGGTTAGCACTCTGACTTTAACAGAAAAGTCCTGGGTGAGTCCAGTCCTTTCAGAGTGGAGTTTGCATGTTCTCCCTGTGCAGGTTTCCTCCGGGTGTTCAGTGTCCATTAAAAACATGTACAATAGCTCCCTGCACTCTGGGACCAGGACTCCTCTGAAAAAGAGAATCGAAATTCTTAGTTGGTCTTTCCGGTTTCAATAAAGGGCAGTAAAATAATAATCTTCCCAAAACATTCCTTGGATCAACCGTGCACATGCGTTCTATCAACTCAAAAGGTGTAAAATTAAAGATGCTTGAAGCATTTTTACTTGTCACTTTTTGCAGTGTTTTGACTTGATACATTTGTTCAACATTGGGCTGAGTGTTTTGTACGTTGTTGAAAGTTTGTTTGGTACATGTTGTTTTTGTCTTGATACTTTGTACGACTAAAGACAAAACCAATCACTGCAAACGCCGCACAACGTGGACGCCTTTTGTTCACTGCCAACGTCTGATAAAAGCACACTGTATTGTACTTCTGTGTCTTTCGCCCCAAACTTAACTGCCATTTCCCAGAATGCACCAGTCCTGACAATCGCTGTTGTTGCGTCTTTGTCAAACCAGTTCCTGATGCAGTAACTCTTGTTTTATATAAACTACCATTTCAAAATCAACGTGTGTTTTCTTATTTGCTCGGTTTAAACAGCGGTCACAGTATTTGTTAGATTTTTAATAGTACTCTGTATTTACACAACATTTATACATTACTTTTTGGACCACAGTACTATTGCATTTCAGTGCTTCTAATCTTTGGTCCTCACAAAAAAAGCAGGACACATGGTACAGATAAAAACCATTATATTTTCTATTGATGACTAATATTAATTATAAAACCAGCTCCAATGGAATGTGGTCAAGCGTCACACATCTCAGTGTCCTTCACATCTCTGCATAGAAAACAGTGTGTGTCTATAATCCATCCTTTACACTTAGATTCTGGGATTAGCAGCTTTCAGCAGTTGATTCCCAGTCCAGTCCAGTGGTCTGGCACCATCAGGAAGTACTTGTCCATGGCCTCACAGAACCTGGCTCTGTACAGCTCTGGAGAGACCACTGTGGGCATCTTTCCTGTCGGCGCAGCATAAACACATTAATACTAAATACTAAACTTAATACTACAGTGATGAGAGCACACAGCCGGCGTCGAGCTGAGAAATACCTTGTCCTCCCATAGATTTGACAACCATCTCCAGCCTCTTATCCCAGGTAAATGTCCGGATATAATCTTTTAAAAAAACAAGGAATAAAGAGGAGAACAGTCATCTTCAAAACAAATCCAAAGTGTTCGGTATTATCATTAACACGATGAAAAATAATGATATGAATGGCTTTATTATCATGAATTCATGATCATTACACGCACCTATGATTCCCACCACCAGCTGGTCCGTGGCGTCGTCCCGCCCCACCAGCAGCGAGTAGTCTATGATCAGGTGACTGGACAGGAAGTAGGCGTCGCTGAGGATGGCGGCCCGGAGGATGGACTTGCAGTGGGAGCGGATGTAGAGCGGGTTATCGTGGATCAGCTTCAGGAGGTTCTCATCCAACAGAACCACCTCACAGCTCTCTTTCCCAGAGTCAGTTTTCACGTTACGGTTCCTCAAGGAGCCTTTGAGGTCAAACACCTGCATTTGAGGTTTAAATCGTACAATTATTCACATGTTTGTGATCGTCACCAGCAAAGACTGACATGATTCATTTATTTCAAACAAAAAGGGACTAAAGGTTGAAGAAAAAGTCAAAGTATTCGTCAATGAAACAATTCAGTATTTTGAGTTATTGTTGAGCAAAAACATTATTTTTTCCTTTCAAACAAAATGAGAAATCTATAATAAATGAAAGCAAAACTGTAACAAAAATGTATTGCACAACTGAGTTTGGACCATGTTTAGTCAGGCCTACGACGACACAAAACTTTTAGTTTAGAACGAGTTTATGAGGCTTAAGATCAGTTCACTTTTACAAATGTCTCGAAGTTTTTACTGATGTTTTTGTACAACACATATTTTTACAGTATTTTCTAGTTTGAAAGGTGTTTCTGCCACAGACCTGAGCCATTTTTCGTCCATAGAAGAGGTTCTCGATCACCAACAAGTCCAGTTTCTTCTCTGTGTTGTTCTGGGAGTTTTTGTAGCCAATTCGATAAACGCCCAAGATCTTTGCGAGTGCCGTCGGTCGCTGTTAAAAACACGACTTTATAAATATTTTACAAAGAATCATGAAATATCACTGTCATTGTTACCGTCTGCTGCGTGGCTCCAGAGATGTAGGTGAAGTAATGAGGAGCGAAATCCAGGAAAGACTGAACTTCTAGTCTGGGCATTTGCTTCAGGATGAACCGGTCATCTTCAAATAAAACATTAACACAAATACTCCATAAAGAATTTAGAAAAGTATTATTTCAGATTCCTCACCGGCCGTGGCATAAAACACAGCCCCTGACTTCCCGCCGCGGGCCTGCCAGTTCACGCAGTGCGACAGAGACCGCACAAAATCCTCTTCGGAGCTTTCCATGATGACTTCTCGCATTTTGTGAAACTCCTCGGCGTAATATATTCGGCAGTAAAACTTGGCGTTGGCGTCGGAGAATTCTAAACAACAAATACAGAACATTATTAGAGTTTTTGTGTCAAAGTCTGATACTAACTACCACAGAAAGTGGTTTTAACGTGATGAAAATGTGATGATGTGAACAGATCATTTCATTAGAAATAGGGTTAGGGTAAGTCTTCGGGCGGATTGTAAAATATTTACAAAGTTGATCTAAATTAAAGTGCACTCTTTAACGCTAAAATGAGTGAGTAACTTGTTAAACTGTGTTATGAAAGTGAGGGACCTCAGCTTTAAAGGTTTCTTTCGCACATTCCACACATTTGAGTCAAACTAAAACAAGTTTTTATCTACATTTTTCTACATTTAATTTTTTCAAGGACTGAAATATGGTGCGAAGTACTTCATACTCCCAGAGTACATAACTGGAATGGTACAACAGTACTTCTATACTAGTGTAGTATAGTATAGAAGTACTGCTAGTATAGTATAGTATAGTATAGAAGTAGTGTTAGTATAGTTTAGTATAGAAGTACTGCTAGTATAGTATAGAAGTAGTGTTAGTATAGTATAGTATAGTATAGAAGTACTGCTAGTATAGTATAGTATAGAAGTACTGCTAGTATAGTACAGTGTAGAAGTACTGCTAGTATAGTATAGTATAGTATAGAAGTAGTGTTAGTTTAGTATAGTATAGTATAGTATAGTATAGTAGTACCATTACTATAGTACATTATATTGTTTCTAAAATACTTACGTAGCTCAATGTGAGGATTGGACGTTTGTTTCTTGAGTTTGTCGGAAACATCTGCATCTTCTAAACATCAATAACACATGAATAAGACATGAATAAACATCAATAAGACATGAATAAACATCAATCACACATAAACAAAGGTTTGTTGTTATGAAGAACTCACTGAGAGGATCTGTGTCCAGGCTGCTGCGGCTCTGCAGCGATGAGTCACTGGGCCTCGCTGGACTGCTCTTAACCCGACTCTCAGAACTGAAACTGTATATATATATCATATATATATCATATATATATATATATATATATATATATAGAGTATATAAGTGTGAAAACGTCTGTTGCATTAATAAAGTTTTTTTTAAAGACAAAAGTCTTCATCGACGATGAAGAGGGTTAGGGTTCTGTTCTGTGTGATTGAAAGCCTAATAATAATAATAATAATAATAATAATACCTGTTGGCGGGGGAGGAGTCCTCTCCTCCTGTGCTGGGAGTCTTTGATAGATCGTCCAGTGCAGTTTTATATTCCTTGCAGCTGAAGACAAAGTGTTATTATGAAGATATTTAATGCTCATAAATGGGTTAGGGTTGGGGTTAACCCTGAGGTAAAGTCAGAGTTTACCTCAGAGCGAAGGCGATGATTGAACTGGGCTCTTTCTCACACACTGCGATCGGCACTCGCTCGTGTTCGTACATCAGGTAATGTTTGTCTGGCTCGCTGGAAACACAGGACAATGAAAAGATCTGTTTGTTTTCACTTTGAACAAGTAAAAGCATTGACTCAGTGTTAGGGTTAGGCTAACCCTAACCCTAACCCTAACCGTAACACACAGAGGAGGACGTACAATGGAACTGGAATGGGGTTGTAGCTGCTTCCTGGCAGGAAGTTAGCCAAGATGGCCTTCATGGTGGATTTCTCTTTGACCTGACTGTCAGTGGAGCCCAGTAAGTGTCCGTCAAACACATCTGAAAATACAACACAGACTTTAATGATGTAACTAAAGGATAGATTTCAGGTTTCAGCAGTAACTTCTAGCTCCAGAGGTGACACATGGAGGCATGATGCGTCTCATATTTTGACAAATTCGTGCAGCTCTAAAAGTAAAATATTTATGACCAACAATAAGATTGTGAAGTGTATTTTCACAATCTTCAGGGCTCATAATGAATGTTCTTAAGCTAACATAGCCGTACCTTCTGGGATGCTAACTGAATCCGGCTCCGTGAAAGAAGGCCCAGACGCCGTGGCTTCTGCGGCGGCGTCTCCAGGAGAGGGCAGTACAGCGGAGGAGGAGCCAGAGGGCATCGGCGTCAGGTAACGGTCCTCTGAAAAACACATCACCACAAAGTCTAAAAAGGAACAAAAAGACAATCCATTTTATAGAGCTCTTTACAACACACGAGGCGACCAAAGTGCTTCACAATAAAATGAATCCATTCAAACATTTATGCAAAAAAACAATAAAACAGTTCAAAAGCATTAACAAGTCCATCCATCCATCCATGTTCTTCCCTTTAATCCATTTCTGGGTCAGGGGGGTGGCAGTCAGAGATGCCACCCAAGTCTCATAGCACCAGCCCCTCACTGACCCTCTGCAGGTGGTGAGTCCACAGGAGGACGGCTGCTCTCTGAGTGTGAGCATAGCCTTGATCTTTCAGTGGGGGCTTTTGGGCAAAGTGGGGTTAAGTGTCTTGCCCAAGGACACAACGACAGCAGTCATCAGTGGGAGTCGGTGGAGAAGGTGCAGAGGTGGGAATTGAACCCGCGACCTTCTGGCCAATGCTCTACCAACTGAGCTACTGTCGCCCTTTAACAAGTGTCACCTGCTAATGAGTGATGAAAGAGTTAAAAGTCTGAATAAATGTGTTTTGAGCCTCAATTTCAAAAGGCCAAAATCATTAAGAACACGCATGTCAGGGGGCAGCTTGGTCCAGAGTCTGGGTCCAGAGTCTGGGTCCAGAGTCTGGGTCCAGGACTGAGAAGGACTGACCCCAAGGTTCAGACTTAGTCCTCAACTCAAAACGAAACTGGAGCCAAAGAAAGGAATAAAGTACTGGGGTGATGTGTTCACGTCTGGGACTATATCACAGTTAACCTAAGAGCATCCTTACTCTCTGTGATACATCACGAGAAACACAAAACTAGAAAACTCCCTGTTGAGTTGGTGCTCTCACTATTATTATTCTCATTATTATTATTATCATAATTATTATTATAATGATGATGACTGTGTGCTCTGTATTTGTGTTGCTGTTTGCAGCTGTGTTGTAATGGCATGAACGGAATGCAGTGTGTCCTGTGTTATCTTTCCTCCACATCTTTCGGTTAAGTCTATATTTTATTTGGGTTTAAGACGCGGTACTGCTGCTGGATTACCTCTGCCAACACTCCCCTAAAACGATGTCTAGAGAGTTTTATTATTTTACTATTAATACATTTGATCCAACCTTTGTTTCAAAACTCACCCTTGTCCCCATTTTGTACAACAGGAGACGGGTTTCGAGGAGAGGAGTCCACAGCGCCCTGTAGAGGAAACAGAAAGATAACACCGGTTACTACACATACATTAGATAAAGGTTAGCCCTAACCCTAGGACACTCCCTTTAGGATAAAGGTTAGCCCTAACCCTAGGACACTTCCTTTAGGATAAAGGTTATCCCTAACCCTAGGACACTCCCTTTAGGATAAAGGGTTATCCCTAATCCTAGGACACTTCCTTTAGGATAAAGGTTAGCCCTAACCCTGGACACTTCCTTTAGGATAAAGGTTAGCCCTAACCCTAGGACACTTCCTTTAGGATAAAGGTTAGCCCTAACCCTAGGACACTTCCTTTAGGATAAAGGGTTAGCCCTAACCCTAGGACACTCCCTTTAGGATAAAGGGTTATCCCTAACCCTAGGACACTCCCTTTCGGATAAAGGGTTATCCCTAACCCTAGGACACTTCCTTTAGGATAAAGTGTTATTCCTAACCCTAGGACCCTTCCTTTAGGATAAAGGGTTAGCCCTAACCCTAGGACACTTCCTTTAGGATAAAGGGTTATCCCTAACCCTAGGACCCTTCCTTTAGGATAAAGAGTTAGTCCTAACACTAGGACACTTCCTTTAGGATAAAGGTTATCCCTAACCCTAGGACACTTCCTTTAGGATAAAGGTTATCCCTAACCCTAGGACACTTCCTTTAGGATAAAGGTTATTCCTAACCCTAGGACACTTCCTTTAGGGTAAAGAGTTAGCCCTAACCCTAGGACACTCCCTTTAGGATAAAGGTTAGCCCTAACCCTAGGACACTTCCTTTAGGATAAAGGGTTATCCCTAACCCTAGGACCCTTCCTTTGGATAAAGGGTTAGCCCTAACCCTAGGACACTTCCTTTAGGATAAAGGTTATCCCTAACCCTAGGACACTCCCTTTAGGATAAAGGTTATCCCTAACCCTATGACACTTCCTTTAGGGTAAAGGGTTAGCCCTAACCCTAGGACACTCCCTTTAGGATAAAGGGTTAGCCCTAACCCTAGGACACTTCCTTTAGGATAAAGGTTAGCCCTAACCCTAGGACACTTCCTTTAGGATAAAGGTTAGCCCTAACCCTAGGACACTCCCTTTAGGATAAAGGGTTAGCAATAACCCTAGGACACTTCCTTTAGGATAAAGGTTAGCCCTAACCCTAGGACACTCCCTTTAGGATAAAGGTTAGCCCTAACCCTAGGACACTCCCTTTAGGATAAAGGTTAGCCCTAACCCTAGGACACTTCCTTTAGGATAAAAGGTTAGCCCTAACCCTAGGACACTTCCTTCAGGATAAAGGTTAGCCCTAACCCTAGGACACTTCCTTTAGGATAAAGGGTTAGCCCTAACCCTAGGACACTTCCTTTAGGATAAAGGTTATCCCTATCCCCTATCCTTTAGGGTAAAGGGTTAGCCCTAACCCTAGGACACTCCCTTTAGGATAAAGGGTTAGACCTAACCCTAGGACACTTCCTTTAGGATAAAGGTTAGTCCTAACCCTAGGACACTTCCTTTAGGATAAAGGTTAGCCCTAACTCTAGGACACTTCCTTTAGGATAAAGGGTTAGCCCTAACCCTAGGACACTCCCTTTAGGATAAAGGGTTAGCAATAACCCTAGGACACTTCCTTTATGGTAAAGGGATAGCCCTAACCCTAGGACACTTTCTTTAGGATAAAGGTTAGCCCTAACCCTAGGACACTCCTTTTAGGATAAAGGTTAGCCCTAAGCCTAGGACACTTCCTTTAGGATAAAAGGTTAGACCTAACCCTAGGACACTTCCTTTAGGATAAAGGTTAGCCCTAACCCTAGGACACTTCCTTTAGGATAAAGTGTTATCCTAACCCTAGGACCCTTCCTTTAGGATAAAGGGTTAGCCCTAACCCTAGGACACTTCCTTTAGGATAAAGGGTTATCCCTAACCCTAGGACCCTTCCTTTAGGATAAAGTGTTATTCCTAACCCTAGGACCCTTCCTTTAGGATAAAGGTTAGCCCTAACCCTAGGACACTTCCTTTAGGATAAAGGTTAGCCCTAACCCTAGGACACTTCCTTTAGGATAAAGGGTTAGCCCTAACCCTAGGACACTCCCTTTAGGATAAAGGTTAGCCCTAACCCTAGGACACTCCCTTTAGGATAAAGGTTAGCCCTAACCCTAGGACACTTCCTTTAGGATAAAAGGTTAGCCCTAACCCTAGGACACTCCCTTTAGGATAAAGGGTTAGCAATAACCCTAGGACACTTCCTTTATGGTAAAGGGATAGCCCTAACCCTAGGACACTTTCTTTAGGATAAAGGTTAGCCCTAACCCTAGGACACTCCTTTTAGGATAAAGGTTAGCCCTAAGCCTAGGACACTTCCTTTAGGATAAAAGGTTAGACCTAACCCTAGGACACTTCCTTTAGGATAAAGGTTAGCCCTAACCCTAGGACACTTCCTTTAGGATAAAGTGTTATCCTAACCCTAGGACCCTTCCTTTAGGATAAAGGGTTAGCCCTAACCCTAGGACACTTCCTTTAGGATAAAGGGTTATCCCTAACCCTAGGACCCTTCCTTTAGGATAAAGTGTTATTCCTAACCCTAGGACCCTTCCTTTAGGATAAAGGTTAGCCCTAACCCTAGGACACTTCCTTTAGGATAAAGGTTAGCCCTAACCCTAGGACACTTCCTTTAGGATAAAGGGTTAGCCCTAACCCTAGGACACTCCCTTTAGGATAAAGGGTTATCCCTAACCCTAGGACACTCCCTTTCGGATAAAGGGTTATCCCTAACCCTAGGACACTTCCTTTAGGATAAAGTGTTATTCCTAACCCTAGGACCCTTCCTTTAGGATAAAGGGTTAGCCCTAACCCTAGGACACTTCCTTTAGGATAAAGGGTTATCCCTAACCCTAGGACCCTTCCTTTAGGATAAAGGGTTAGCCCTAACACTAGGACACTTCCTTTAGGATAAAGGTTATCCCTAACCCTAGGACACTTCCTTTAGGATAAAGGTTATCCCTAACCCTAGGACACTTCCTTTAGGATAAAGGTTATCCCTAACCCTAGGACACTTCCTTTAGGGTAAAGGGTTAGCCCTAACCCTAGGACACTCCCTTTAGGATAAAGGTTAGCCATAACCCTAGGACACTTCCTTTAGGATAAAGGGTTATCCCTAACCCTAGGACCCTTCCTTTAGGATAAAGGGTTAGCCCTAACCCTAGGACACTTCCTTTAGGATAAAGGTTATCCCTAACCCTAGGACACTCCCTTTAGGATAAAGGTTATCCCTAACCCTAGGACACTTCCTTTAGGGTAAAGGGTTAGCCCTAACCCTAGGACACTTCCTTTAGGATAAAGGTTAGCCCTAACCCTAGGACACTTCCTTTAGGATAAAGGTTAGCCCTAACCCTAGGACACTCCCTTTAGGATAAAGGGTTAGCAATAACCCTAGGACACTTCCTTTAGGATAAAGGTTAGCCCTAACCCTAGGACACTCCCTTTAGGATAAAGGTTAGCCCTAACCCTAGGACACTCCCTTTAGGATAAAGGTTAGCCCTAACCCTAGGACACTTCCTTTAGGATAAAAGGTTAGACCTAACCCTAGGACACTTCCTTCAGGATAAAGGTTAGCCCTAACCCTAGGACACTTCCTTTAGGATAAAGGGTTAGCCCTAACCCTAGGACACTTCCTTTAGGATAAAGGTTATCCCTATCCGCTATCCTTTAGGGTAAAGGGTTAGCCCTAACCCTAGGACACTCCCTTTAGGATAAAGGGTTAGTCCTAACCCTAGGACACTTCCTTTAGGATAAAGGTTAGCCCTAACCCTAGGACACTTCCTTTAGGATAAAGGTTAGCCCTAACTCTAGGACACTTCCTTTAGGATAAAGGGTTAGCCCTAACCCTAGGACACTCCCTTTAGGATAAAGGGTTAGCAATAACCCTAGGACACTTCCTTTATGGTAAAGGGATAGCCCTAACCCTAGGACACTTTCTTTAGGATAAAGGTTAGCCCTAACCCTAGGACACTCCTTTTAGGATAAAGGTTAGCCCTAAGCCTAGGACACTTCCTTTAGGATAAAAGGTTAGACCTAACCCTAGGACACTTCCTTTAGGATAAAGGTTAGCCCTAACCCTAGGACACTTCCTTTAGGATAAAGTGTTATCCCTAACCCTAGGACCCTTCCTTTAGGATAAAGGGTTAGCCCTAACCCTAGGACACTTCCTTTAGGATAAAGGGTTATCCCTAACCCTAGGACCCTTCCTTTAGGATAAAGGGTTAGCCCTAACCCTAGGACACTTCCTTTAGGATAAAGGTTATCCCTAACCCTAGGACACTTCCTTTAGGATAAAGGTTATCCCTAACCCTAGGACACTTCCTTTAGGATAAAGGTTATCCCTAACCCTAGGACACTTCCTTTAGGGTAAAGGGTTAGCCCTAACCCTAGGACACTCCCTTTAGGATAAAGGTTAGCCCTAACCCTAGGACACTTCCTTTAGGATAAAGGGTTATCCCTAACCCTAGGACCCTTCCTTTAGGATAAAGGGTTAGCCCTAACCCTAGGACACTTCCTTTAGGATAAAGGTTATCCCTAACCCTAGGACACTCCCTTTAGGATAAAGGTTATCCCTAACCCTAGGACACTTCCTTTAGGGTAAAGGGTTAGCCCTAACCCTAGGACACTCCCTTTAGGATAAAGGGTTAGCCCTAACCCTAGGACACTTCCTTTAGGATAAAGGTTAGCCCTAACCTTAGGACACTTCCTTTAGGATAAAGGTTAGCCCTAACCCTAGGACACTCCCTTTAGGATAAAGGGTTAGCAATAACCCTAGGACACTTCCTTTAGGATAAAGGTTAGCTCTAACCCTAGGACACTCCCTTTAGGATAAAGGTTAGCCCTAACCCTAGGACACTCCCTTTAGGATAAAGGTTAGCCCTAACCCTCGGACACTTCCTTTAGGATAAAAGGTTAGCCCTAACCCTAGGACACTTCCTTCAGGATAAAGGTTAGCCCTAACCCTAGGACACTTCCTTTAGGATAAAGGGTTAGCCCTAACCCTAGGACACTTCCTTTAGGATAAAGGTTATCCTATCCCCTATCCTTTAGGGTAAAGGGTTAGCCCTAACCCTAGGACACTCCCTTTAGGATAAAGGGTTAGTCCTAACCCTAGGACACTTCCTTTAGGATAAAGGTTAGCCCTAACCCTAGGACACTTCCTTTAGGATAAAGGTTAGCCCTAACTCTAGGACACTTCCTTTAGGATAAAGGGTTAGCAATAACCCTAGGACACTTCCTTTATGGTAAAGGGATAGCCCTAACCCTAGGACACTTTCTTTAGGATAAAGGTTAGCCCTAACCCTAGGACACTCCTTTTAGGATAAAGGTTAGCCCTAAGCCTAGGACACTTCCTTTAGGATAAAAGGTTAGCCCTAACCCTAGGACACTTCCTTTAGGATAAAGGTTAGCCCTAACCCTAGGACACTTCCTTTAGGATAAAGGTCAGTCCTAACCCTAGGACACTTCCTTTAGGATAAAGGTTAGCCCTAACCCACTTCACCGACCTTGTCCTCTGAGGTGTTCTGCCGGTGTCGCCCTGGACTTGGAGGGACAGACAAGCGCTTCCTGCCTTTCTCCTGCTGAAACAGGTCTTGAAGCCTGACAGTTCACAGGGTAACAATACATAAATACAGTGCCTTGAACTGATTCAACCACAAAAATACATATTTCATTTTTGATATTTTACTGAAAGACCATAGCTAAGTGACATACTGTGCAGTGAAAGAAAAACATACATGAGATAAATCTTTTAAAAAAGAAAACTAAAGTGGGTATTATTAAGTAATTATACAGCATAAGTTAATGTGGAATCCCCATCTTCTGAAGCTTTCTGTCCTGCTTTTGCTCAATCCACCAATCAACACTCTTCCTGGTCCCTGCTGAAGAAAAGTAGGCCCATAACATAATGCTACCACCCCCATATTTGACACTGGGGATGGTGGTGCACTCAGGCTGATGAGCAGTGCTAGTTTAAGTAAGTTAGAAAGTTTTTTTATTTATATAGCGCATTTGACAGACCAAGGTACAGACCCAAAGCCCTTTCCAATGTTCAGAGTCAGATATTGTTCCAATCATTCCACACACGGTGATGACAGAAGCGAGTCCAAAACACACTGGACCATCAGCCCCCAATCAACACCATCCATTCACTCTCTCATTTACATTCAGACCTATTGTGCATGTTTTTAGTGGTAGGAGAAACCGGAGCACCCGGAGGAAACCTACGCAGCCACGGGGAGAACATGCAAACTCCACTCAGAAAGGCCCTGTTTCGACCGGGATTCAAATCCAGACCTTCTTGCTGAGAAGCGAGAGTGCTAACCACTCAGCCACCAAGGAGTGTTTTGTTTTGTTTTATAATAACAAAACAAAATTTGGGATTAAGACCAAAGTTCAGAGTTTAGTTCTAGACTCATACCTCCGACCACAGCATCGTCTTCATCATGTTGGATGTGTCTCTGCCTTATTTTAAATGTTTTTCTATTAACCACTAGTTTATAAAGTTGTCTGTAGTGTATGACTGATATTTGGCCCAGATGAGCTGTGGATGTCTGCAGCTCCTCCAGAGTAACCATTGGCCTCGTGTCTGCATCTGACTGTCCTTGTTGGAGTTTGGGCAAACAGCTGAGCTTTGGTAGATTGGCAGTTGTACCATAGACCTGCTTCAGACTTCTCCACAGCTTCACACCGACCTCTCTGATGTCAGTGGTCTGTTATCCGAGTGCACTTTCAGTGAATAAATCTATATCAAATACTGATGTTTGTGGTTTAGGGCAGTGCATTGTGGGTTGATGAGAGCCAACCTGTTGTTCCAGGACTGCAACATCTCACACAGACTCTGCTTCTTCATCAGCAGAGACTCCAGGATGGACTGCAGCTGCTGCGGGGCGTCAGCACCACACATCTGCATACGAGCCTGGAGCTTTTCAATCCAGTTTCTGAGCTCCGCCTCTTCCATCTACAACAAGGAGAAACATTCTGAAGCGATTTACACCAATTACACAACTGCACGAAGATACTTAAAATAAAACTAAATCTAAATCCATCACACTTTCATGAACTAATTGGATAAAGTTGTAGATTTCTTTCCGGGCTCTGCCTCTGCTTCAAAGAGCCTCTGAAGTGAAAAATAAATGTTTTCTTGAATTTAACGTTCGTAGAATGCCGGTGTTTTTGTCGGGCTGATACGAAATGACTAACCCTGACGTCAACCATTTCTTCCTTAATCACGCTTCAACTTTTACCTGATCCTAAACGGACAAGATCGGTTCAATGAGCATCATGTCTCTCCATAATAACCTGCACACTTTCCAAACGTACTTGTCTTTCCTCGGTTGAACAGTGGCAGGTAAAGCTTCATCACTAGATCATAATTTGTCCCATAACTTACATCTTTTTGAGCAAACAGATCCTCCATTTTCTCCTCCCGTGTTTTACTGAATGTGTCAGTCTTGAGGGAAGTGAGTCTGTCGTCGATGGCCATGTACACTTGACTGATTCTGAGAGAAATTGACAATAAACAGAGGAAACTAACGACATATTTAACAAAATCAACATAATTACTGTGATTTTAACAAACTTTAAAGAAAATTCCTTAAGATCTTGTTGAAGGCTGGATTTAGATGGTCCCTGATTTCTGATAAAAATCTTAGGACGAGGAAGGCAAATTTCCAATAATCGGACCGGCGTATAACTGGAAATTAAGCAAAAGGTTTGTCACGATTTACAAATACAACATTTTTAAGTGTGAAGCGAGAGACGGACCTGAAAGAAGCCACCATCTGATTGTATGAAAAGTACTGGTGGTAGTCTTTATGGATGGAGTGTCCACAGGGCTCTGCGTTCGCCCGCCTCGTGTACTTATGACCGTAGAAACGAAGCTCCAAGTATTTAGTAAAAGACATGGACCATGAGTCGTTGGACAGAGGCACGACTGGAGTGACCTGAGCAAAAGCACAACAACATTACTTTGATTATAAACTCAAGTCCAACATGCGCTCCGAACATTTGAAAACTCACTTGTTTGCAAATCCGACACCAGGAGTAGTTGAGGATGGTGTGTTGGTATCCAGGCACAGGGGAGTCCAGCTCTTTCAGCACGATCTGCACACAGCCGTTTCCATGCACGAACCGGCGGATGTGGTGCACCATGGGAGTTTCACAATACATACTGGGGCACTGGTAAGAAGGCCTGAAGGGCACCACATAACCATAAACATGATTACATACATTAGAAGCTATTTACTACACATGTTATACATACATGTAATACTAGTCCCTTTCTCACCTAAAACAATATCTCTCCAAAAATACACCAAGAGAAAGATCATTCTTTCCATAGAACTCCATCGTGACAATCCTGTGGGAAATAAGTAATGACTTTTAAATATAGCTGTGCAGTTTTGGTACATGTCAGTAGTGTCTAAAGGTCACCAGGGGCTGACGCAGGGGTTGGGGGCGTTGGTGGACTGTGCAGACGAGCTGCTGAAGAGAACACACAGCCTCTGGTGGTTGGTCGGACTCAGACAGTCCAGCTGCTGATGAGGAACCAAAAGGATTAGCAAACATACTTTGGATAAATGTAGTCAGGGTAATTATTGTGAAGTGAAATCATTTGAGCATTATCAAAGCTAAGGGTAATCCATTTTCAATCCACAAAAAACGTAATTATTAAAATATAACTAGTTCCCCGCACTAAAACAGTTGGGTTCCATCATGTATGTTTTATCTGCTTCTGCCACATCTTTAGGTCAGGTCTCTCAAACGGAGAAGTGAAAAAGAGGACCACCCTCAATCATCAACGGGGACAGAATGTTGTGATCTGATTTGTTCACACTACTTTAGTTTTTTAATACTCTTTCTGTTGGGAAAAACAATACAGGTTGAGTGCCCTGAATCTAAGGCATAGAAATGTCTTTTTGTAGTGGTTAAATCCTACTGTGAGACATACTTTAGGGGCCCAGCTTATGTCATGGGCTTTGCTGGGCCTCTCCTCTTCACTGTCTGCTTTGACCGGGCATTTGACCTCTGCTCTGTGGCCGTTGACCCCGGGAGAGAAGAACTGGTCGCTGCCGTCTCTTTGCCGGATGCGGCCGCCCTTGGCCCTGTAGTCTGCCACCATCTTGGCCAGGTCCTGACTGGTGTTCAGCTGCTCCGTGATGCGGGAGCTGGTGAGAGTGTGGCTGGGAAGGACGTCCATGGCTTTGACCGAGACAGAACCGTTGACACTGACGTAGGACGGAGAGCCCTCTTTGAGCAGCTGTCTCTTTTTACGGCAGTCGAGCTCCTTCAGATCTTTGTTCAAGAGCGGGGAGATATAAACCTGGAACATGAACACACACTGAAGTTCATTGCACATAATTAAACAATGAATTAGGCATATCACACCTCTAATCTGATTTAGCAACACTGATGATTTAACTACAATCCCTGCACTCACAAGACTCCTACTCAGTTCACAAGGAAGTAAATGTAACTATATAAGGAATATGAAACTTCTAGCACACCAACACTCTCCCAGGTAAATCCAATGGCAAAAGTCCATGTCAATCTCCATGGCAACAAGCAAGTGACAACTGTCTAATTGAATAAATGATGATGATGACTATAACACATGAACAAAAACACGTGACCCGCCATTACAAAACCTACACCTTGCAACTTAAATAAGATGAGAAGATTTCTATTAAAATAAGATTTGGAGAATTGACGTTCTACTCACCTGTTCAGGAAAATAGTCCCGGCTGGGGCAGTGCATGCCGGGGGGAGTGAGGAGGAACGGCACTCTGAAGGTGATGAAGGGTGAGATGCAGAGGATTATATCTTTCAGCTCTTGTTTGAAAGTGACAGAAAGGGTTTTCAGGCGGTCATCTGACGAGGTCACCTGCTCTGCCACAAACAGCCCTGTATCGTCTTGCAGAGGGTCTCGGAACAGTTTGGGAGGTGAAGTCTCTGAAGTCTCCTCCTCCTCCTCCTCTTCCTCCTCCAGTTCTCCTCGCTCCTCTCCTGCTGCTTCACCCTCAGAGCCACAAGTCAAAGTGTCAGAGCCCAGGAGGAAAGGTGGTGCCACGATTAAAGGAGGGGCAGGCGGGCTGGGAAATGGAGAGGAAGTCCTGACATCTGCAGTGTCCATGAGAGGAGTGTTGTCTGTAGTATAATCCTCCTCTTCTAAGGGTCCATCCGCGGCCTCTGGACACACACTCACCTTCCCATCACCTTCTTGTTGCTCCCTTTCCTCTCCCTCTGTGTTGGATGTCTCGAGCAGACAGGGAAAGGATGTGTTTGGAGCCACGTTTGGAGGCATGGCAAACTCATCCATGAGGAAGGAGATCTCCAGCTGTGAGTGATAGGCCACACACACCATGAACATGATGATGTCTTTGACCCGGGACAGCTCATACTCCGAGGCTCCGCGTAGCTTTATGGAGCATCCCAGATGAGCGGGACACCCCTCGAAAAACATCAAGGTCTTCACTTCGTCTGCAACAGGAGAATGCATCTTTGTAATCATGATTTCAATGTGCTCTGAGGGGAAGGCCACGACATGGAGCACACACGAGACCACTTTGCTTGTTTTACATGTGATTAATATAGAACTTAATTGGTTCTAATGTTGATAATTATGGTTAATAGATGTTTAAAACCCACAATAAAACATATATTGAATCTTTTGAAAAAGGACCCTAAGCCATACATAATTTCTTTATTTATTAGGGATTGCCCTTTGAAATTAATCATCTTTATTTTGAGGGGGTCCTTTGAAAAAGTCATCAATCATAATTATCCAAATAAAAACAAACAAATTACAAATATAACTTTACATGTAATTGCTCTGTATCATATTGGTTTCACATTATAAATACAGCCATAAAAGAACTTTTGATAATGTTCCTACTTTCTGAATTGTACCTGTTTATTAAGCTGTGCAGTGATGACAACTTAAATGAAATACAGTAACATATAATAAGAGTGAAATATAATTGTCTACCAATGAATACAGTGACTTATCTATTGACAAAAGGACATCCAAGTGAGGTCAACTCTAATCACACAACTGTAGGTGCACTTTGAATAATGAACATGTGTTTTTACTCACCGTGGGGCAAAGTGAACGGCTGCATGTGGAACTTGTGGCAGGTTCCCAGACGTGGTTTTGTGAGGAGCTGGTCCATGGACAAAACCAGATCCCCCTGGGTCATCCGGCTGACCCTGTCCAGCACTTGCTATAACATTACACAGTATACACATACACAGTAAAACAATGGAAATATGCAGTGTATGTACTGCATATACTGTATATACAATATATATATATATATAACATTAAATACACAGTAAAAGAATGGGATATACAGTGCATGTACTGTGTTAGTATTAGATAGCAATATGGCCTACGTGCAGGACTGTACAAGGACTCCATGTTATGACTATGATGTGACTGTCTCTTTGTGACACGTATGTCTTTCGATGTGTGACGTGACAATGACTATATAAACTGTGTACTGCCTTTATTCTGTCTGGGAGAAAGAAACAGAGTAAACCAGTGGAACTTGAGAGAAACTTAAATAAACTTCCAGAGTTTGGCACACCACGATCCGTCTCTGTCTGCTTAAATCCTAACAGATTTGGTGGAGAATGCGCGGCTCAGTGTGTGCCATTCTCTGGATTGTTTTGAGGGAGTTTGCTTTGTTTTCTTTTCCTCGGCGTGAGAGACCGGCTGTGTCTGGGAGCGGAGATTCCAGCAGGCTGGAAGAGCTGTTCCTGGATGCTTCTTGTCGCTTCTGTCACTTTTGTTTTTTAAATTGAATATTCCGACGCGGAAAAGAGTTGGCAGACCTCTCGGACAGCCCGTGCGCACCTGTTTGACAAGAATAAGGTAAGCAGACACCTTTTTAAATGTAAAGTCTGCATAATTGGATACTAGCTAAATTTTGGTCTGTTTTTGAGGTCTGTCGAACTCTCTAAATTGTGTTCAAATAAGTGAGGATCCATAAAGTGAAAAGTGTTGGCCATTAAAGTGAATAGGATCCATAAAGTGAAAAGTGTTGGCCATTAAAGTGAATAGGATCCATAAAGTGAAAAGTGTTGGCCATTAAAGTGAATAGGATCCATAAAGTGTAAAGGCCATAAGTGAGGATCCATAAGTGAAACCATGGTGTAAAATTAAAAGTAATTATAAAAAGGGAAACGTGTTAAGGAGGCCTTTGTTACAAAAGCTTTGAAATTGACGAATTTCAGGCTGATAAATGACAAAAGTAAAGAAGCAACAATATTTCAGTGATCACGGTTTAAATTACATACAGAAAAAGGGAGTGTTTGTTTTTGGCGTGTACAGAGTTCACCGGAGAATGCAGAGTTTTATCTAAAGTTGAGCTATGAGAGCTTTCGTGAGTTATTTACATTTTTTGCCGAGTTTTATCTACAGTTAAGCTATGAGAGGGTTGTATCCAACAGTTGTTTTTGTTTTTTAGAAAGAGATTTTGAGTTTAAACTAGTTTGCTACCTCAATAAAATAGAAGCGTAAACGTTAAAGACAAGAGTGCCTTTTGTTACTAGTGTGGAAAGTGATCACTTCTAGACTTGGATGACAAAAGTATAAAGAACAACATCAGTTATATTCGCTTAAAAAAGTAATCTTCAAAGTTATTCTTCTTTCTGTTTTGGCATTTTTGCTAAAACACTACTTTCTGTCTGTGTGTGTGCACATCTTGCTGCCGTTGTCAGGGAAACGGCCCCCTCCTTTGCTGCTCCGGCTCTGAATCAGAGCAAAGCTACTGCTTTAGGATTTTTGGCTTTTCATAGTTGTTATTCCGTTAAATTTGCTAAATTTGCAATTGAACATTGTGTTAGACACAGTTAAACGTTTTTAAACACCATTAGTGAATAAGTTTTGAATATTATATGTTTTTGAAACCCAAATATTAGTGCTAAAAGCTGTGCAATTCTTTTTAGACCTAACATATTTCTAGATTCCATTCTTTTAAATCTGCTGCTTATTTTGTGAGTCCATTATTGTATCTCTGATATATTTCATAGCTGTTTGTGAGAATTTTTTTTATGTTTTTTTTTTTAGTTACAAAAGCCGTTTTTCAAACATTTAAATTAGAATCTGTGTTAAAAGTGATTATTGATTATAGACTTCGTCTAAAAAGAAAGAGGGAATTAGATTAGCTGTAAAAGTATTATATTATTAAGTTAAACTACCCAATTCACCCATTGCAAGCGGTGATGTTTTTGTTTTGACTACACGCGTGACCTTGCTGCTGCTCAGCGACAGGAGGAGGCAGCTCCGACGCACAATTGAGTTTTATTTATTGAACCGAATCCAGTTTAGCTGGAGCTAAATCTTTTGTTTGATTTCAAGTTTTGTTTTAAATGTTTTTACAAATTAATGTTCATTTTTATAGAGATTTTTCATAATTTCATTTCATGGCGTCTTTCAAGAAACCCAAGGACGCATAGATAATTAAACACAGTACAAAAGTACACATATTTTAAAGTTTGAAGATTTTTGAGATTTGAGTCTTGTTTTTTATATTAAGAGTTTCTGGTTTTAAAAAGTTTCACATTAGTAAGATAATAAGTAATCTTTATTTACATAGCGCATGTGGAAAAACCCAGAGCGCTCCAAAATTGTTTTGACTTTAGGGAGAAAAACAATCTCATTCGCATACTGATATCTATTGTTTTTTTTAAATTGGCCGTCTCAAGGATTGTTTTTCAGACTCTGCCTCACTGTACGAGAGGTCACTGCTGGACACCAAAGCCCCCCAGCCACAGGTCACAGATCAAAGAGCAAAGGGAAATGCCACCTCCTTGCCCCTCCCCACGCCACTGCAGAGCTGAGTGGGTGTGAGAGAGACCGGGGCCATGAAAGAGAGGTTTCTGGAGACGTGATGGGTGGAGGCCTCAGGTAGAGACCTAGAGGCAGTTGAAAGTGTGTCCAGTTGGTTACATCACCACAGTGTGACCTTTGAGACCTACAGGTGGTTTGAGGAGTCTGGAGACACAACCCCAAAATTCACACCCTACATACACACACATACACACATTCATACACACACACACACACACATTTACATATAGATACATGAAAAAGCAGAACATGAGGAAAAAGCATTTTAAAAGTTTACTCCAATGTAAACACATATTTTTAATTGTCTATCACTTGAATCTTTATTTGAATCAGTATTTTTTGAGACCAGAAATGTTCATTTGAATTCTATATTGTCATGGACATAATTGACCTCTGTCCTGACACTTTTGATTTGTTGATTTTGTACTGTGTGAAGTAATTACATTGATTAGAATTAGATCTGATAAAAACACAAATTATTGAAGTAAATTGCGCTTGCTTTTGTCTGAGGGACAGAAGCAACAGCATGAATAGAAATTGTGTTAAAGTAGAGTCAAAGTGACTTAACCATAGAGAGTAACTATTGCATAACAAGCTGTGTACAGGAACTGTGACACTGCACCATTGACCAGAAGTGCATCTCAAATGACCTGATGTGCTTCAAGTGAAAAGACTGTATCTGGAGATCCTGATGTGCATCTGGAGAGACCAAAACCATGGCTTGGACCCTACTGATGTCCAAGATGACATCTCTCGAAATATGACCTGACCTGATGACAACTGAGACCTAACCTCACCCTCAGAGGACCCTGAGGATCTGAGGATCTGAGAGAGAAAAACTGGGGAGTGATGTTTATATTTCTAAAATCATACCATTGATGAGTGCTAAATGAGAGAGATACTCATGATTCTTTCTTTTGTTTTTGTTTGTCCCTAGCTTCTGGACATCTGATGATCTATTGGACACAGCCATTTGCAGAACAAGAACCAGCCAATGAAACGTCTATTGCCGATGCTATTGCTACAACCAGAAACTGTGACAAATGCAATATACATGTTAAGTATTCAGACATCTGACAGACAAAAACTTTGAAAATTATAAAGTATGAGTATTGTAGCGTTTTATTAGATGTCAAATAGTAGTGATAAGATCGGCGATGAAGAATATTCCTCTCACACCCACTGTAGCCAGATCAAGGGTCCTATCTAACATTCATAACTTCTCCCCATACGTACCTCCAAAGCCACCTAGGGCGTCCAACTCAAATTCTCCCACAAAATCCACCCGTCCCTCAAATTCTAACTCGAATTCACCCGCAAAATCCACAGGTCCCTCCCCTAACCCCAAAACCATTCCAGCCCCACCCCCACCCCCCCCTCGTTTCCCATCACCAAGAACCCCTCCACCTCCACTCCCCCCTCGTCTATCTCCCAACTCCTGCCCCTCCCCTAACACCCATCCACCTCCAACCCCCCCTCGTCCAACACCCAAGAACCACCCACCTCTCCATCCTCCTCCCTCCTCTCCCTAGGATGCACAGGGTCTCTGCTTCGCAGCCACTGGCAGTCTAGTTAGAGGAGAGACCCGGCTGGGGCCCTGTCATGAAGCCACCTGTGCCATTCCCTTAGTGATAACACAAAGAATACATTACAGAAAGACATCTGGAGTTAATCAGTCTAATCTGGAAAATCTAATTCTTGTTCCGTGTAAGAATCAGCCGACCACAACCGCTGATACTGAAACTTTGAAACTTGCTACGCTTAATGTCAGATCTCTTTCTAACAAGTCTTTTTTAATCAATAATTTTATTTCTTCTTATAATCTTGATCTTATGTTCATGGCTGAAACATGGCTTGACCAAAATACATAAAATGCAGTTTTAATAGAAGCATCACCACCAAATTTCAAATTTGAATCTGAAATACGGGAAAACAAAAAAGGAGGAGGCTTAGCTGCCATTTTCAGAGACCACTTTGTCTCCCATAGAATGTCTCTTGGGAAGTTTCCGTCTTTTGAATATGTGTCTTTTAAAATACAACAAAAACAATCTCCTCCAATACTCTTCATAGTCCTATACAAGCCACCGCAGTCATGTCACAGTTTTATTGATAATTTTACCGAGTTGCTTTCAGTTGTATGCACAGATTTTGATAGTTTAGTTATTACAGGTGATTTTAATATTCATGTGGATAATGTTGATGACAGAAATGCAAAAGAGCTGAGTTCTTTACTTGATACCTTTGGTCTCACTCAGCATGTGAGTGGCCCCACCCACAGCAGAGGGCACACTCTAGACCTGTTAGTTACAAAGGGGGTGAATATTTCAAATATAAGCGTGGTCGATGTTGCTCTTTCGGATCATTTCT